ATGCCTTTTGATGGCACTCATGTTTATCCGGCGTGCTTTAAGCATTTTTGAGAAGCCATGAAGTTTAAGAAAATCTCTGTGAAGAGCCCAATTGCCTCAATAATTGTGACATGGAAGAAACTTGGAACCACCAGGACTCCTCAGAGTTGTCAGAAATGGAAGAACTTATCAGATCTACCACCTACTGTCAGCCGACATTCAGTCTCCATGCAGCTGGTAATTCATGTGAAAATGCATTATGTTCAAATTCAGATAAACAATACAAAAGATTTGCAATCAGTGTGATAGAGTGCTGTTTGTCTTGTTTCAGTCCACTAAAATCTACACAGAAATCTCATATGCAGGGAAAGACTGCACTGAGCTTTACATATTGTTTTTCTGTACTTTTCTTTGGTCTGGTAGAGACATGCTATCTATGGAAAAATCAACAAACCCATAGCAAGTGTAAAACAGTGTTCTTTTGTTTGCCCCTCTCAGCTCTATAAGGAGAACAGTTGCCCTACATGACATTTCCTTCTGTGTGTCCTGAGCCCCAGATGGCACTCAGGTGGTGTTAAACTGATATTTTTTGACAGACGTTTTCCTATTGCTTACTTTTTGTACCAGTTTTTAAAAAAGATTGCACACACATCTGTGTGTGCATACATATAAAAATAAAATGGAAAAAATTAAGATGGTGAAATTTATGCCCGCTTTGTGCCACATACGCCATGTCATGTATTGTTATCTATATAATGGAATAAACTTGATGATAAATTAATTATTCTGTCAAGCTTTTAACTGTCAGCTTTGAATCAAAATGAACACTCAATCACATTACCATGTGCTGGACTCTAAAACAGGATGCACACCAACTGGTGGGTGGCCTGCAAACAGGAAGTGGATTGTTTAGGAATGACTTCACTTCTTAACATTATGACCCCCTCCCCATCTTCATAGACCTCTCAACCAATACAAAAATGACCAAGCCAAAAACAAAGCTGCTTTGTATTGCATAATATCCTAAGAGCACTTCGCTTGACCTCGTGCATGTAATTGGAAGGTATGCCTATTAACAATTATGCTCTTATATGCAGATAAACGCAATTTAATCTGACACTATCCATTTAGTTCCACATGAAGAACTGTCACTGAACCACAGGAACTAGGAAATGCAATTCCGAGAATAGTTTCTCAATAAACATAACCTCACCATGATGGAACTTTGGCAAAACACCAACTTTAAAAAACTGCTATTCCCCCTTGAGGAGACTCCCCTCTGCTCTTCCTTCTTTCTTGCTTTATTTTTACCCGCCCAAATGCAGCTGTTTCCCAGCATGCCTGAGGGCCAAACTGCTGGGATAGATGAAGGATGGAGGGACACTGACAGGGAGGTCCAGTCCTATAACGGAAACATAACGGTCTGGGAGCTGGATGCATCACTTAGCAACTGGTGGAGACTGAGACAGCATGTATTGGGTTTTGGACTGTGGGACTTCAAGTATGTGGAACTGATGTCTTTTTTTATCTGTGGTACATCTGGTCTCATCAGTGTTTTACCTACTGTGATGCAGCTACATTGATGAAACATTTATTATGAGAATTTCTTAATATGATAAGTGACAGATACTGATGAAATTCCATGGGCACAATAATGGTTGAGCAGTTTATGAATATGATTTTGTGTGATTATAAGGTGCAAGGTGGTTAGTATTGTTGCACGAAGGTTGCCGGTTTGCGTCCCGGTGAGGACACCCGGGATCTTTATATGTGGAGTTTGCATGTTCTCCCCATGCAACATGGGTTCTCTACGGGTTCACTGGCTTCCTCCCACAAGGTCCAAAAACACGTTGAGGTTAATTGGTGATTCTAAATTGTCTGTAGGTGTGAATGTGAGTGTACTTGGTTGTCTGTCTCTAAGTGTAGCCCTGCGGTAGACTGGTGACCTGTCCAGGGTGTCCCCTGCCTTCACCCTAAGTCAGCTGGGATAGGCTCCAGCCCCCTGCGACTCTAGTGAGGATTAAGCGGTGTATAGATAATGGATGGATGGATGTCTTACACCATTTTTTTTTAACATTCTTTTGTGAATGCATTGTTATGCAGACAGTCTCATTTAATCCTAAAAGTCTTAACAGTATGGTGTACTGACTTGTTGCTATTTATTGACTGGACTACTTCTATCCCTGTATAGCTGAATTCTGATAAAACTTTGGTAAATGGTCCTGATTACATTTCTATAACCCAATATCCTGACCCACTGACAACTAGCTTACGAGAAAGACCAGAAATTAACAGGACATTTTTGATCGAAACCTCAAATTCAGTCAGCATATTAATATTAAATATATAAAGTATCCACCAAGCAATGCTTTCCAAAAATAATTTTCTGCATTCCACAGTTCACCTTGTAGCACAATACAGCAATAAGACCTCTGACAAACATTAAACCCTGGCTGGACTAAAATGACTCCCTTTTCATTTAAGATTTCATTGTAAGATCTTTACTACACTTTTACTTTTTTCAAAACCATTAACAAATAGTTGGCTGGAACCTTTTTCAACTCACAACTCGAAAGGTTTTATGGAGTATTTTGTTAAAATTCTGTAGCAAAAACCGTTCTGTGAAACTTCTGTTGTCTTTTGTGGTGTTTTCATTTGCACATGTGATGGACTTTATAACTTTGATTTGTAAAGGTCTCTGGCTTCCTTTTTAGACCATCTATAAACCCCTCTAAGTAGCATTTAGCAATGCAACTGTTTTGGCGAAGGGAATACGTTTAAGTATTTGAACTTAGTTCATTAGATTAAAAATATATTTATCCATTTACTGTTTCCAGACACCAGACAAGAAAGGTCATGTTGCTTGACATATATATGCTGTATTTGTATACCACGACTGTGACTGTGGAAATGAATGATTATTGTACTGGCTGATAATATCTGCATGTGTCGTGAGAAAAGCAGGGGGCCCAGACAGCTTCCTTATGCAACTCCAAAACAAAAGCCACATTTTTTTCCTGCAGTGTTACTATGACTAATGTAAACGTTTCTCTCTGTATTGTATTGAGTGTGTAGAACTAGATAAGAACACATTGTAGATTGAATTAGTTCTCTTGATGGTTTAAAAGAATACTGTAGTCAACTGTGTCAAACTCTGCAGTCAGATTTAAAGGTCCAGATCCAAACAGTCACTGCTGTTATACATTTGGAATCTAATGGAATGTAACTGGTTACACTGTATTAAACTAGAAATACCAGAAAAAAAAAATCTTATTCGAAAGACATTGCAAACTTCCGTTTATACACTTAAATATTTGATTTGTATTCATCAGGTGGACACAAACATAACTTGAAATATGTGTCTGCTGCATGTGTAAAAAGGCAACGGTTGTATATCAGATGTTGTGTTTACAACTTGTTGTGCAGCCCCCAAGTGGACAAAAAAAGGGGAAATAAAAATCAGTTAATGCAGCTGTATTGATAGTCAAGCATAACAACATTAAAACTCTGAAATCTTTGATAATTCTGATGAACATGCAAAAAATGCATGTTTTTAAAATAGCAGACGAAGGTAGATTCTAATTGATGAATTAACTTTGTTGTCTAATAAAGAATGATTTCTATAAACATCAGGCCAACACTAGACCTCCTGTCAGTAGGACACCACTTTTATCAGGAGAAGGCCTCGCAACTATATCAATAATCTTTAAACTGTATGTCTATAAAACATAATTATGACTGTGTACAAAAATATACGTACTTGAAATGGGATCTTTACATGAACTTTTATCATTCAGTGTATCAACGGGATGTTTATCTGTGTATGTGTGACTCAGAAGCAACATTATATTCCCAGCTGCTCTATGTGTCAAAGACAAATTATAAATAGACTCAGGGCTAAACTGGAAAAGTCCCTCCAGCTGAGGGGGACTCGTGATGTGGTGGGGGGGACGTTCCCTAACAGGCTCACAGGTAATTTCTGTTTTTGCATTCACTCCTTGATAATATCAACTTAGCTTCATGGGAACTCTCTAATCAGTGTTTGGCTTGCAAACAACTATTTGCGAAGAAGTCTGCATCTGTTATATTACAGTCCTCATAATGTTAGACAAGTCATCTGCAGTAGTTCAACTAAGGCATTTAGATTTTTTTTTGCTCTTATTATTCATGTATATATAAAAGCAAATGATGTGTGTGTAAACAGTAACTTAGAAAAATCACTGTTATACTCTTCTGGGAGCCTACAACCAATAACCCCCGGTGGCATTTGGCTGTTATATGTATTGTAATCTTATGGTCATTGTTGATTTTACCTAAAGCATTACACATCATCAACAACCCATTATTACTGTTAGATTATCCTGCATGAAGTCATTGTTGGTGTGATTTGTGGGGATTATCTCAGCTTTGTCAAGTTAGCCACAATAAAAGCTTGTGAAAAAGGAAATACTGACTTTCAGCGATGCAATAGTCCCAATTAAATGTCCCGAGGAGTTTTTTTTTTTTTTAAAAAAGCCTTCCGACCACATTAGTGTCACATTGTGTCACTGAGGGAGACTGTTTATTATCCCCACTTTTGTCCTTTTCTGGTGTGTAATGTAAAGTTAATTGTATTTTACTTATTGGTAAGTGCATAAAGGTTGACATAACATGAAACATTTTTTTAAACCTTTGGATTATAAGCATGTATTACAAGCAGATTTACGGCATATTTTCCCCCTTTCTGTTCAGTAATTAGTATCCTCTTGTAATGCCCTTTGGGATGGACTGAATTTATAAGATGATTCCATTATTGTTTGAGTCAGTACTTTAAATCTAACAAAATTGTTTCCCAGAATTATATTTTTGGCTGTGTGGAGAGACAATTGGAATATCATTTTTTTTATTATTAGATCAAACGCTTAAGGCTTGAATTTTTGCTCCTGCTATGTACGCACATCTGCATCTCACAAGAACTTTATTTTGACAGTCATACTCGTGCGTGTTCCGGTTGCGTCCTAGTAGCTTGTCGCTCTGTCTGACTTGAGGCGTGTGTTTGTTTTGCAGCCTGTCTGAGGAGTGGACACCGGTGAGGAGCTGTCAGCGAGGCAGGTGGAGTCTCTCCATCCACTTCCCCAAGCGAAGCCCCCTCAGAGGGACACAGGAGCGCGGACACACATTTCCTACATTTTAATGTCGGCGTTTCTTGTCTTTGCGAGAATTAGCTGACAAGTCCGACCATGACTTCGGTTTGGAAGCGACTCCAGCGAGTCGGAAAGAAAGCGTCCAAGTTCCAGTTTGCGGCGACGTTTCAAGAACTGATAATTGAATGCACGAATAAATGGTAAGTAATTGTTTTAATGTATATTTGTGAAGCATAGTAGATAGTTTGTGTGTATTTCGGTCTAAAAAGTTGTCTCCGAGTGGACTGACAGACGTCACCGAAAGTGATGCCGAACTCAGTTTTGAAATATTAGCTTTTTATTTTCAGCAAATTAAACGTGCGGCAACGAACAGCACGGCCGTTGAAGAACCATTTAAATCTGGGTCAGTTTACATCAGCTAGCTTGTTTGTCAACAAAATTAAACCTCCTATTAGTCGACTTGTTTTTCCATTAGCATTACTATTCTATAAACACAGATTGGGAGAAGCCAAATGTTTATAAAAGTTGAAGATTTTCAAATGAAATGCTGTAGGACAAGCTAACTGGTCGTGGTTATCAACAATTCTTCTCGGTTCTTGATTTTGTCTGCGTAGTATGTAGCTGTAGCCTGGGTATGAATGGCAGACAGTCGGGATACTGCAAGAATCATCCGGTTAGACAGACAGCTTTTCTAAAAAGTCGCGCCGTATCTACACCAAAATATGTTGACGCTTTTTGATAACACCGTGTTCTCCTGTAGAGAGAGAGCATGGCCACATTACTTCCGCATTTGTTTCTTTATTTGAATCAGTGTGCTGTTGTTGTTACCATGTTGTGTGGCATCCTGTTAAATAGGGCACCCTGTCATGCTAAAAAATAACCTGGCTGTGACAATGAGAGATAATCTCTTGAAGAACAGTTGGTGTCAGGTCAAGGGATTGGCTTTATATGTGAAAAATATATCAAAATAAAATGTTTCATCTCTTTTGATGTATACATAGGTAGTTTTTGGTCATATTGAATGACTTGTTTTTATTAAAGATCAGCAGAAAAAATGGTTTACTATTAATTGAACCAGCTTTTGTTGAATTTAGCCACTTTAACTTGTTTATCAAGGCACGCTATTAAATGTTAATATAGCAACGAAAACCACACACAATGAAATACATTACCTTCACCAGGGAAAGTCTGTGGTTGCGGATGAGAGGCCCAGAAGGACGTGGGCCAGCATGTCTTAGGAAACCTGCCATGGGGAGAGTAACAGAGGATGAAGGGGGTTCCATTATCAAGGGAGGTGATAGATTGTTTTTTTAGACAGGGAAGGAGCATGCCTGCTGTTGGTTCATGCAAGTGACGCATCGGACATTCCGTTGAACAGTTGTCTTGTTACTATTGATGAAGTGTCTATCGTCAGCTTGTCTGTTGTTTTATTGCCCAGGCCTAGTCAGGTCTACCAGGTGGAGTGAGGTAAGCAGTCATCTGCACCATCAGCACCACCGGGGCTATAGCCAGGATTTTAGAACAATGAGGTCATAAATTAAAATTCCCTCTAGTACAACCGTAGCTCTCACAACAAGTTTGAGACTTGTTAACTTGGCTGGATTGTTAGAGGACCTGTAGGATCACTCACTGGACGTAGGATGCAGTTATAAGCCTGCTATTGGACATTGCTGTCAGCCAGCTTTACTTTATTATGTGAGATAACAACAACCTCTGGGCAGCTAACACACTGAGAACTTAAGGTTTTGCCGAGGATTGGGATCATGCAGTAAGGCAGCCCTGCTGCAAAATGTTCTACACAAACAATTCCACTTGTCATCATTTTGAGGAAACACTGAAGCTGCATCCTTTGCTTAATACTGTCGACGATGACTGTGCGTGGTTTAAAGAAATACTAACAAGCCACAGTGCTTTTACTCTGTAGCAGAGTGATCACAAGCTGCAGCCATACAATTATGTACTACAGAATAGGCTGACAAAGCAAAACTAGGGCACCCTATTATTTTCCCAGTACTGCTTGCTTAAGTAATTTCTTATTTATGCATTTATTAATTTACCTTTGTCATGCAAAAACCTAATCAGCTAGCTGAGCCACAGTGACCCTTGGGTGCGCCCCACTAGCTCAACGGGTTAAGTGGACAACCCATAAACAGGTTCTAAAGGACCTGACGCAGCAGCCATGGTTCGAGTCCAACCCATGGCCATTTGCTGCATGTCTTTCCTCTAGTCTTGTCCCTGCTTTACTGTCTCCCTCTTCACAAACCTGTATAATGAAGGCCAAAAAAATAACATTTAAAAAGAATAGAATGCCTTTATCGTTGTGGAATTGTACACAGCAAAATTAGGAGTGCCGCTTCAGTTAGTGCATGTAAACAATTTAAAAAACACAAAAACATAATATACAAATAATGAAAGGCAGCAGGTAAAAATTTGTTGTACAGATATAGCTCAGTTTTTTTTTGTTCTAGATATTCCAATTTACTGCTCCTGTGCATTTTGCATCATTACAAACTGAATGTGTTTGAGTTCAAAATTGTTGATTAGACAAAAAAAAATACAAACAATAGACATTACCAGAAAGTAGGCTATAGGGCAGAATATGTTGTTGAGTCCTGCTTAAACACTTTCCTACAAATTTATTTCTGAATATGGATTGTTCGACCAAGACATAAAACACAGATCATTGAGCCCTTACAACTACTTTTGACATGAGGGTGCTCATAACTAAAAAGCATGTGATACAAGATGACACACAGCCTCTGAGCCGCTGCCCACTTGTGCCTGTATTTCCCCTTGTAATATCCAATGCATGGGATATACTAAAAGTTCCAGTTTCCTAAAATATGAGGAGGTCAAAGTGTAGAAATGTACTGCTAACGCCCAGGTCATGCTGTTTAATGAACTAGAGAATAAACTAATTTCTTTAAAAAGTCCCTGACAATGAAATGACACATTTGGTACTCATATCCCTAATAGCTACCATGTTACTTCCTGAAAATTTAAGCCTAAATCAGGTAGTCTAAAATAGTATAAAATAAAAAGTTTCCTGATTAAGGGATTACCATTAGTGCACAACAAAGCATTGTTGGATTCATTAGGGATCCTTAAGGATTTTTAAATACCGCACAACACTTTGATGGTGTACATGATACCGCCCAAGCCTAATGCAATGATGATTATTTTTTTGAGCTGATTTGTGAGAGTGTCAGGCTAGGATCCCGATCACCTTGTTGTTGTCCGTGTTGGACTATTTCACCATTGAGTCGCAAGCAACAAGGTCATTTAGATCAGTGTATTTCTTCTAGTCATATCTCCATTTTGTGTTAATGGTTTCGTTCAGTTCTGTCAAATAAAGAGCTCTGCTGCAGTGTTGTCTGAACAGAGATTGTGGCTAAAAAAGCAGTCAAATTAATGAAGCAAGTTGTGTATGTGGAACAAGTCAACAAAAAGAGGGCATTCAATGCTAACCGTCTGTATTAGAATGTTTTTTTGTCAAAAGCCTAAAGTATAACCAGATTAAATCTCTGGGTATAGAGAGAAACTGTAGTTGTTCTCTGCTCTGTAGGTGCAGAGGGTAAATTGAGATTATATGTAAGGCCTGATGTAGGTCAGAATGATCACTAAGACCTGCTTATGTTACAGAGTTCTGTTAGAAGTGCAGTTAACGTTTGAAGTTGCTTCAGACTTGGGTATGCAGAAGTTCCTTCAATTCCATGATCATTACTCACCATGTAGTCAGCATGTGCTTCCAATCCTCCAGCCCTGGCTTGTATAGTGGCCTACCTACTTGTCTGCTTGTCACACTGTTTATCTACTTTTCCACAAGTATCATACACATGAACCTGTATCAACATGTTTCTGTTCCTGGTAGGTCCCAGCAACAGTTTTAGATTTTAGTTAATTTTTTTTTTGTTCTTTACAACAGTTAATGTTGGCCCCTCAGGCACACAGCAGCACTGAATATGATATGACAATTACACAAGGAAGCCAGAGCACAGTGTTAAGGTTTAGGTTGTTGCAGTTGTGTACTTTTTTGGGGAACTTTTTAACTCTGACAAAATTGAAAGTTGAACTTATGACTTAGAAGATCAAATGTATGATGTTTGATATCAGGATTCAATAGTTAGATAAAAAAAGTCAAGACTTCTAATAATTACAACTTGCCAAGGCAAAATGTAGATTCTATGATACTCTTACACATTTTGAATATGTTATCTCATAACAAATGTACCACCTAAGTATGTATCACATCATTTGAAAGTGAAAATGTTGACTTAGGATTCAGTCTCACAGTAATGAGAGATGAGCAGACAGTAAATCTCATTAGAGATTTACTGTGTCAAAATTGTATATTAATAATTATTACATTTTAATACACAATATTGATTTTCTATTTTGTAATATTGACTTGTCTTTGGAGGGACACTTTTTTCCCTCTTAATGATTCAAAATTGAATGTAATGAGAAAAAAAAAACCTGACACACAGTGTCCCAGGACCGGATCTTTTTAAACCACCTGGTTGTATGTAACTGGTGGTTACAGTAAATGTTTACCCTCGGTGATTTTAGAGCCTGAGTCCTTCCATCATTTCTTCAACTACGTCAACTGTGGCCAGCTTGCTGGGACTGCGTCTCTACATGTTCACACTTTGTGCAACACTATGTCATGCTCTGCAAGCTTAGAACGCACAGCAAAGACCTACACCCTGAACCTAGAATATACGTCACTTCATTGGAGTGTGAATAAACGGTTAGGTGGGTAGTTTATATGTGTCATCATGTCTGACAACAATGAGTCTTACATTGATGGGTGCAAAAGCTTGCAAAACAACATTTAGATTACTGATCAGCAGAACCACTGCCGACCGTGTTGAGGCCAATAATAAAGACATACTTCCGCATTTTGGGAAATGTGCATAATTAAGTTCTTAATAATAAAGATTTAATGGTAATGCCATGTTTGTGTGCAGTCTGAATGTTGCATTACAGACAGTACACTTTCTACGGCCTGTAACAAGAATGTGTAAAATGTGGATCAGCTAGACAGACCATCTCCCTGAACTAATCAGCCAGTACAGAGTATCAGAGAGTCTGGGAGCACTATTTACAAGTTGTCTTATCAACACAGTCAAGCATTTCCTCATATGGCAAAATTCAAACAGCTCGTACTTTAAACTGACAAATACAAATGTGCTATTGA